ACGATGTCTGTAAAAATACCAAGGAATTTACACTATATTGTTAATTGTAATATTTTTTTCCAGAGCAAATACAATCATTACTCTGTCTTTTATGCAAGACTTAATGAAGCCAAAAGAATCGTAGACATAGCGGAATTGTGTCTTTGTGTTGACGTCAGTCTCTAATTTAAAGGTACAAATTTTATTTGAGAGAAACTATAATTTTACGAAAAATATTATCTACAACCTTGCTTTTAAAGAAATAAAAAACAACAAAACATTTTGGCTACCACTTTTATTGGTTTTCCGAGCTGTAATACTGTTACAAGCGACTAAACATTGAAAAAGAGATGATATGAGAATGTGTACATTATAAACTGGATTGTCAAGGGCAAATGCAGCATGATTACCCCCGGCACGCATGCACAATATTTCAGATTGAAAAAAAAAAGCAAATTTTGAAATCAAAATCCAGTTCTTAAACAAATTAAAGGATTTTGATCAATTTGAAAAAAAAATGTATTATCTGATTTCTGATGAAACATTATCCATTTTTGTTTTTCAAAAGATTTCTGCAAAGAATAATTATATTATTAATAATGTAAGGCGGGTATTTGAAGGAAATAAATATTTCTGGTTGGAAGTCTGTTTGACAAATATTTTCTCAATTAAGCCAAACAGTGCATAAATCATATCAGTCTGATGATTAACCTACTTTTTTTTTAATTAGAATATAATTAATGAAAAATTAGAGCTATCAGGTATAAAAATATATTTCGTGAAAATATGCTGCATTTGTAGATCAGAAATAATTATTTAATCATTCCCATACATCTTAAATTGCAGAAACCAAATGCTTTAACTAGAAAGCCACGTATATCTAAGATCAATTCTGGATATATTTAAACAACATACAACAAACCAAACAATCAATCAGTTGACTTGCATCATTTTATCTCAGACACTTGGTTTGGGTCAATTTACCTGTTATCCTTTTCTACTTTTTCAAACTTTTATAGCCCCGTGGGGATCCGGGTTAGAATAGGTCCTCAGTACCCCCTTGCTTGTCGTAAAAGGCGACTAAATGGGACGGTCCTTCGGATGAGACCGTATAAACCGAGGTCCCGTGTCACAATAGGTGTGGCACGATAAAGATCCCTCCCTGCTCAAAGGCCATGAGTGCCGAGCATAGGCCTAAATTTGCAGCCCTTCACTGTCAATGGTGACATCTCCATATCAGTGAAATATTCTGGAGAGGGACGTTAAACAGTATACAACCAACCAATCAAACTTTTATAATGATCAGCCAAGGCTTTATATACATAATAATACGCATGTATTTTCAGCATTTACGATTTTTAGGACAATAAATGCACATGAAACTTGTATCCACTCATACTCGGGAATACGTGTAGACCTAGCGTATTGCTCATCAAACACGCTACAAAACTTTAAACGTATGTATATTTATCAATTGTCTGTAGCTGTATATAAACTTTGCCGTGATCTCGGAATTGTACATATGTTGTTTATCCTTTTCTAATCTGTGACTCAACTGCATAAAAAATATCGGAAAGCAGTACAATTCAAAGCATGTTTTATAGTTTTAGTATTTTTAGTGGTTCTCACTCGTAACGAATTTCATTTAGCTGATTGATCAGTTAGAAAGTATCGCCAATGCCTCGATTTGCATATGAATTCATTCTAACGTCAGAAAATCTGGTTCCGTCGATCTGTTCATAATGGGAAAGGCCAGCTAGATTTTATAAATTTTCAAAAAATAGCATGTAACCGCAATATGAGCGAGTTAGGTACAATTTTCTCCTTTCACATATAGGTAGATTTTTTAAAAAATACAGTGACCAGCCAAAGGAGAAAATTGTACCTACCTGCGCTCGTATTTTTTAAGGGCTTCAAAGAGTGTGGCGGGGTTAAAATGCAATGGGAATTGGATGTAAACATGATACCCCTACCCCACTAAAAGATCTATATCTTTCAAATCACGTTTCTGTTTTTGGTAAGAATAGTATTCTATAAAGGTACACATATCAGCGATTAGTTACATATAAAATTAGAGTAAAATTTAGACATTTCATTTTTTGTTAATTTATCAGGGGCCGCAAGACACCTCATTACACTGTTTTAGCGCATACGGATATACGATATTTGTTAAAATTGCAACTAAAGCATTTATTCAACATCAGTTGGCTAAAATTCGAATAAAAGTTAATAAGATAAAATGTTTTATCGCAGGTAACAAATGACCTATGCGTAAAAAGGTTTTTGTAACCACATTTACAGTCTTGTGCACCGACTTGTTCGAAAGTTCTGCGATACCCCGCTAATTGCCTGAACATTATTTTTATGTTTTTGTATGCTTATCAATAATAAATTGATCAGCATGTGTCATTCTTCAAAGAACGCATTAAATCTCATGTAAAGCAATATGTATTCGAACTTTTCTAACAACCCTCGTATATAAAAGGAATCAGGCTTATCAGAACCCTATCCCATTTCCTTCGTTTTAAGTATATTTGCTCTGTTCAAGTTTTGATATGAGGTAGACAGCTCTCTTACTGCTATATGTTCAGAAGTTTGCCTTCGTAAGTGGGGAGAAAGTATTGCTTTTTCACGTCCTGAAATCAAAGACATGAAGTATGGATAGTTATCGTTTGAAAAAAATCAGACTTGTTAGTTTGTAAATCCGAAATTGCAATTGTTCCATGTCACAGGAAATACATGTGTGACGTATCAAAGTAACTGCTTCAACCATTCAAGGAATTTGGCAAAGATAAAGATATTTCGGTCAAACAGACAAACAGCTAGACCTACAAAAAGGAAAACTATATCAACGTAAAATACGTAGAAAATAAGTTTAACCAGAAACCTTAATTTTGACCATAATCTTGGTTCGTAGCTAAACTATTTCTGTCAAGATGTTGAAAAGAAACAGCAGCTAAGTAGCAAATATTTTTGAAATTGCCGTCAGTACTTGTAACCCGGTTCGTTAATTATGACCATAATTTTGGTTCGAGGTAAAGCTATCTTCGTCAAAAAGTAGAGAGACATAAATACAGCCTTATTCACAAGCGCTGAATTACTCATTTGGTGCAGGTTTTGCAATAACTAAATTTGAGCATTTGTACGCAATTGCAGATATATGGAATCCGGATAGGGCCACGCAGTTCACTATTGCATCATCGCACCATCGAGGTTTGAGTCGATGGTGTGATGACGCCATAATGCGATGACGATGGAGCGATGAAGCGATAACGATGAAGCGATGGTGCGATAGCGCGATGACGATGATGCGATGGTGCGATAGCGCGATGACGATGATGCGATGGTACGATGTAGCGATAGTGCGATGACGCGATGGCACGATAGCGATGATGCGTTGGTGCGATAGCGATGATGCGATGGCGCGACAGTGATGATGCGATGCTATATCGTATCATCGTTATTGCTTTATCGCGCTATCGTCATCGCATTGTCGCACTATCGCGCTATCGACTCTTTTGCGCATGCGCCATTGAGAAGAGAAATGACGTCAGGTTGTGAAAGTATGAACAGAATACATATCAGAAAAAGATCTTACTGGGTGAATTAACTTCACTTGGGCATTAAAATTAACCATGTCTTTCTTGCCAGACATATAACAAGTTAGAAGATTGTTAAAATATAGTTTGATAATCGAGATAAAGTTAACAATACACTCATCTTGTGACTGAAGTAAAAGAAATCGAAATCCGCGTGATCTAGATTTTTGTTTCTAAACGGGGGGGGGGGGGGGGGGGGGATCGATACTGTAGATTGGGAAATAATAAGGATGGTTTTACTTTCACTATGTTCGCGATTAATTTTTTTCCGCAAAATTAAACCCATCGTGAATGTTATCATAAACTATTAAAAACGAGTAAATGCTTATACGAAATTTAAATTAATTTCTCGCATCGTGAAATCAAGGACCTGTATACTAGTATATAGGTCCCTGGTGAAATAAAAAGCAACGCTATTGTACTTTCTGAGAAATCGTGAAATTTTAGCACCGTTAAATACAGTATTCACAATCAAGAAAATTAAAAGCAAACACAAGACAAAAGTCTTCCTCCCTCTTTCTTCTTGGTACATGTACTCAATGTTTGTTATTTAAAATATAATTATCAAATACAAAATTAAAGTCAGTTTATTATCACTGGGCAATCAAATCTTTGCTCGAATTTTAATACTAATGGCAATACACATGGAAGCTCTTCTATATAAAACCAAAGAAGTAATATGATTTCTTTATTATCGTATCCGTAAAAGAAATATTCTGGAATCTTTTCATCAACAAATGCCATGTTATGCAATGACTGCTGGGAATGCCATCCTATCTAGATAGTCGATAGAGCGATGGTGCGATGACACGATGTCGATAGCGCGATAAAGGAATAACGATGACACGATATAGCATCGCATCATCACTATCGCGCCATCGCATCATCGCTATGGCACCAACACATCATCGCTATAGTGCCATCGCGTCATCGCATTATCGCTTCATCGTACCATCGCATCTTCGTCATCGCTCTATCGCGCCATCGCTTCATCATTATCGCACTATCGCGCCATCGCTTCATCGTTATCGCACCATCGCTTCATCGTCATCGCATTATCGCACCATCAACTCAAATCTCGATGGTGCGATGATGCGATAGTGAACAGCATGGCCCTATCCGGATTCCATACATATATGTAAAAGTAAATATACATAATGTTCGTCGGGTGTAAATTTGCATTTTCCCAAATTAGGTGCAAAGAAGTAGGTACGGTTTCCTTTATAATTCTGCACGGTGTTTTGAGGAAAAATTAATTTGAAGTTTCAACTATTTATCCTTTATGAAATTATAGACTAACAAGAAGGTTATTTAAAAATAATGTTCAAATGAACTTATCTTTGCGCATGCGTAAGTTACAATTAATCAAAGTAAGGGCGATAACCCTTTTTTCGTATTTTTCAGTGTCCTTGTACATATATATTAGATAAATTCAATATCTCTGCCATCGTCGCCCGGAACTATTTTTGGTATATTGAAAGATTATTATAAAATGCATAATTTCTAAAAGTTTCATTCCGGGCGACAGTGGCAGAAGGGTTGAAATATTAATGAGATAATTTTTTAACTACGGTCACCGTGTTAAAACCACCGCGCATATTCAGTTCATTGAAGAGGAGACGACGATAACCAAGGCTACCATTTAATTATAAACATCTTTTTTAGTTTATTTCATAATTTTAGAATGCTTTGATTTGTTACAATTTCTTATTTTTAAAAATCCGGATAAATTTGATCCAAAAGTACGGAACGCTGACATTTTGGTTGTTATGGTTAGTGTAAACAGAGCAGTGTAAAGATAGGGCCAACGTTTAACAGATTCTTCCTGCATAATCCTGGGAACCAGGTAAGCCAATTAAGAAACATACAAATCAATAGAAAATCATTATATATTACGGAGCATTCAAGAAAAAATATTCACATACTTAGACGTTTAAACAAAGGTAGTAAAGAGTGCAGTCACCTATGCAAGCTATGCAGCTTGCAAGTTGCAGACGACGCTGTGCCGTGTGCGTTAGATCTGCAGTATGCTTGATATTTTTGTGTATGTTTGTTTTTGATTAAAGGAATCCTTGAAAATTGCAAGAAAATGATAAAATGAACATGTATTTCAGCTTAAAGTGCTTGCAAGATGCTTATAGCTAGTTTTAAGACGGGACTGTTCCATCCTAGCTTTCAGTATAGATCATCTACATGTATATGACGCCTGTGGCTAAGATCTATCTTTTTATTATAATTATAGCACTGCAATTCCTGCATCTGCATTTTTATGGTGTTATATTTCTTGTGTATTGAAAACGTAAAACCATAATAGGCGAGGACGATACAGTTTTACCGTGATATGTTGTAAATAAAAACATACACTCAACACTAAATATTCCAATTTTAGGAAGGTACAGGGTAACTCAAAATTTTTGCCGATTTTATACAACTAGCATAAATTCTCTTTCTCTGGGAAATATGAATTTATATTATTTTATTTATTTATTTTTTTTTTGTATATATGGTTTGGTTTGGGGCCCAAGTATAAATAAAATATAATTTACTGAAATATTGAAATTAAAATGTATAATACTATTCTTTAAAAGAGGCAATGATCTGCATGAATTCAATTGAAATTATCAACTAGTATTTGATTGATCATATGACAGACTTTTACCATAGGCAAATGCAAATTCAGGGGATATAGTGAGGAGGGGGGGGGGGTCAACACACTATAAAATAAGTAAATAAATAGGTAAACCAAGAAAAAAATAAAAAAATGCATACCGGCTTTTTTCCATTTGTTGGGTCTTACATCGGATTTGTGTTGGGGATTGAGGCCAGGTGGATCAATATAAATTCAAATAAATAAACTCGATAAAAATTTAGTAACAAAAAAAAATAATAATCAAACCTTACCATGCTAACCCAGAAAAAATTCTTAATTAAAAAGAGTGTGTTAAGCTGAAAAGTGTTAAAATGGGGTCGATTTTATTTGATAAACCATATTTATTTTCAGGCTTATAATTGTTCTTTTAATTGTCTGATCATTACAAATGTGGGTACATATAATAACTAAAATTCAGCTTATTGTGTATGTCTGTAAATCATGATGTATTACGATCATTTTCAAAATTTAATCGATGAAGATGACCATGATGACGTGGACCTTTTGACTTATTGATTTAATTATTTTTTAAAAGGATGGATGAGAGACGATATAAGTGTGCTCTGTGCAACAAGAAGATCCCCCAGGATGAACGACGGCCAGCTACTTTATTTCTTTCTGTTTTACAGAAACATTTTTCTGTAAATGTGGAAGACTCAGACGTATTGTGTAATAAGTGTCGTCATAAGTGTAGGAAAAAGAATAAATCTTTTGCCACTGGACTCACATTACCAAGGCCAGCTCCCCAGGAGGAAAAAGAGGATCCAACTTACGCATCACCAAATCCAAAGAAAACCAGACTCTCATTTCATAGTCCTCCTTCCGTTCCCCTGCCAATTCCATCAACAACCCAAAGCCATGGTTACTGCCTTGTTTGCAAGAAACCGGGACCCAAACTTGTTACAGTTTCCCATCATGTTCGTATGTTTGTATTCATCAGTCGAGGGATAATTATCCCGTCTGGTGCAAGGTGTTGTACTCGACATTTGGAAAATGGGAAAATGACTGATGAAGCTATGGAGCAGATTAAGACGAGTGAGAGCACGACACTGAACAAAACTTCTATCACCAATCTAATCAAGGTATCATTTATTATTTCCAACTTGGTCATACACAATATGTTATACCGGATATATTGGATTACTAATAACATTAACGATGACAATAAAGCATTTATGATGAAAATATTTTAGGAATTGCGAGATAAAGCATTTCAGCAATCGAGGCTTGACTTTGATGATGAAGGCAGCCTAGACGACAGTGACTATCAAGTGCTGACAGGATTTTCTCGTTTTGAATTTCATGACATTGTCTCAACAATTACCAGTATCAACTCCTCCAAAAATCGAAGCAAGAGGACTTGTGTAGCCATCCTGTTGATGAAACTGAGATCAGCCCTTTCAAACAAAATGCTTGCCGTTTTATTTTGCATGACTAAGTTTCAAGTAAGACTTTTAAGTAATGTTATAAAAATTGTATACAAGTAAACATTGTATAAACATGTATGTACATGTATATTTATGTATATTTCTATCACACATTTTGAAACAGGACATTTTTTACATGTATCTACTAGTATTTTTTTTAACTTAGAAGTATCTCATTTTTCAGGTTCGACGAGCTATTGCATCTGCCAGAGCAGCGCTTATGAAAGACTTCGTGCCATCCAATCTTGGATTTCAGCATGTTACACGTGAAGAAGTCATTCACAACCACACTCGTGAGCTAGCTAGGGATCTTTTGACCCACGACATCACGACAAACCCTGCAATCTTGGTTTTGGATGGAACGTATGTCTACATACAGAAAAGTTCAAATTTTGCTTTTGCACGACGATCATACAGTTTATACAAACATAGGCCCCTGGTAAAACCAATGATCGTGGTAACAACGAGTGGATATATTGTATCGGTTCTTGGGCCCTATCTGGCTGACACAAAGAATAATGACGCCAACATCCTAAAACACATGATTTATAGTAATGCTGAGGAGATCAGGAGTTGGATACAGGAAGATGACGTCTTTGTTGTCGACCGTAGTTTCAGGGACGCTTAGGATTTGTTGGAAGACATTGGAATCAGGATGGAGATGCCTGCTTTCATGAAAAGGGGATCCAAGCAGCTCTCCACATCTGATTCTAACTTGTCTTGAGTCGTGACAAAGGTATTATAGTATTTTCTTTTAATGTAAATATATTTACATTGTATTTAGAGTAATATTTTTACCAATTAGCTATAACATAATTATTACTTTGCATATGAAATACAATAATATAATTATAGATTGAGCAGAAATAGAAGAAAACTGTTGTACGTTTTATTAAGCATTCTATTTTTTATTTTTCAGGTTCGTTGGATTGTAGAAGCAACAAATGGGCGACTGAAACAGTGGCAGTATTTAGCTAAAACGTTACCAAACTCGCAAATCCCATTTATTGGAGACTATGTGAGAATTGTGGCGGCACTGTGCAATAAGTACAGGCCACCACTTAGTGTGTCATCCGATGAGGACAAACAACTTGCTGCAAAAATGCTTCACCTTTCAGAAAGAGTCAACATATTACAGGTAAATATATATTTTCGTAGTTTTATAATGATGCATATGTGGCATGTTCATTGTTGTCTTTAGGTCAAGGACAAAACTTACTCTGAACTAAACATTAAAATAGTTATATCTAGTTGATGAAATAAAAAAAGAGTTGAATGTTTCTATTTCCTATTACTCTGAATTAGTAAAAGACTTTAACTTGCACAATAACCTTTTGCATTTACAGGAACGCGTGGAAACTGAGGGACTTGACAGAAGAGGGCTGCGTTGGACTAAAGTTGACGCAGAGAATGTTGCCCCAGATTTCCCATGCTATGAAGAGACTGAATTGCGCCAACTTACTCTTGGAGTATATCAACTTCGCATGGCCCATTCCTATGCTAAAGAGCACATTGATGAAGATGGTGGATTTGAAATCTGCATAAGTGATGACATTCCTGGGTTGGTTAGTGCTAAGATTCAAAGCAGACATATAGCTGCTAAACAGTACAGATGCTGGGTTAGTTTCAGTGATGGAGTGGTGGATGGGTGGTACTGCAAATGTAAAGCTGGGACTAGAGTCGTTGGAATGTGTGGTCATGTAACCAGTGTTGTATGGTACCTCTCTTTCGGGCGTCATCAGGAGTTTGTGAAAGGGGTTCGTAACTGGACTACAACACTGGAGGACGCCTCTGACATCCAGGACATTATAGATGAATCGGATAGTGATGGTGATGACAATGGTTTGGAAGAGTGATAGAAAACGAGGAAGCATTACAGATAGAAAGAGATCAGTTACATGAAACTGTACAGTTATGCCTGAGCTCGAAAGAGACAGACTTCTTTATATCTACAATAACATTTCATTCTTGCATAATGATACAATGTTGTTTTTCAGTTTGTTGATACTTCCTCATCGAGTCACTTTGTTAACTTACATGTATTACCAAGCAGCTAAAATGAATAATTAATTTTTAAATGATTATCATTCTGAAAGATGAAATTGACAAATGAATTGTGAATATACTATTTCTATATTTGTCAAAAAATTATTTATGTGTTTTACATCAGCCATAAAGCAATATTCCTGCAACTATATGGTTTACTATACCAGTGTACGTGTTCATTGACAATAAAATAATTTTGAGTTACCCTTGCAATGACTTACTAAAATACATGTATAAATGAAAACAAGATGTGTTTGTAAAACACTATGCGACCAGCATCAACAAAGTTCGAAAAAGTTATTTTTTAACATACAGGTCACAGTTAAGGTCATTCACATTTGAAAGAACTTAATCAGTTGAGTATGCATACCAAATATGAAGTCTCTATCTTCTATGGTTAAAAAAATGGCAAACGTCAAAAAAGCTATTTTTAGCACAGTTAAATAGGTCACAGTCTAGGTCACATGGTCATCAACCTTGGTGTCATGTGAAAGGGTTTAATTAGTGGTGTATGCATACCAAATATGAAGTCCCTATCTATCATGGTTCAAAAGTTATGGCGAAGGTTAAAGTTGACAAAAGGCAGACAGAGAAACGGGTAAACAGATAAGCAGACAGGACAAAAAAATATAAGCCCCATAAAAAGTAAAGATTACGAATAGTGATTGATTTTAAAAAATGTATAAATGTATAATTTAATGCTCATTGGCAATATATTTTTAAGTTCACTGCATTATTATGATGCCATGTCTTAAATAACTTAGTAAATCTTGGAAAGAGAAATTGTGTTAATGATGATTGAACAACAGCGAGGTTAACTTCTTTTTTATTGCTTAGCAACCCAGAACTTATATGTATACATATCTGAAAAAGATTTTTCTCAACTGAATGCAGTTCATTATGATAACCTAGCTTCAGTGAATAATTTAATAATTACCATTTCAAACATCCATTGCAGTAAAACATCAAAAAAATTAAAAGCGTCCAAAACATGGTTAAAGTAAGGCACTTAATTGACCTTTGATTTCCATTGGTTAGATCAAGTTGGTGATTTTATAATAATTATAAAATATTTATAATTAATTCTTATAAACATTTTACTTAATGGTACACTAAAGCACGTCACGCAAACATTCATTTTGGTTAATAATTAGTATGAAGTGAAATCCTTTGGTGTCTGATTTCGCTTTAAAAAGGGCGACGTCAAAATATCAGTACTGTACTTTGAAGAATTATTTTTCAGGCGTCTTAAAAGATATCAATTTAAAATTACTAGTTTTATAAATTAGATATACTGTAATAGTTTATATTGTATTTTAGTTGATTTCCTGGACCGGGCATATTTTTGCCCAAACTGTACTTTCTTCTTACTTTTGACACATGCCTATTTGTACTCTTGGTGAATTTTTCGGTGTGTGAAAGCACAATAAATTTTACAGCTAGTATAATGTTATAGCAACTTGCTTTTAGACCTTTATTGGCCGGCATGCCCTTTTTCCTTTGGAAGTTAAGTAACTGTTCAGCTCATAATAATTGCAAAGCATTTCTAATGTCTCCCCATTCGAAAGTCCCTGTTCCAATGAGAATCGACAAACCTTTATCACGTAATTCTGTCGTACGAGTCTGTAGACTTTTCCCTTGCCAACTGATCCCCCAAACGACCTAGCCTAGTACAAAAACCTTATTCCTACACACAGTATGGTAATATCCTCGTCCTTTTGAACCTAAAACAATCTGCGAATTCTTTTATGGTAAACGTCACAAATCATTTTCATTTGATTTAATTTGTTAAGTTCCACGTGAACGCGGTAGCGAATGTAATTTTACACCCGGGTGCAGATTTAGCATTCGAGCAAAATTTGCAATAGGTAAGTAAATCAGTTCATGTAAAGGGACTTACTTAGCAAATCAAAGATGATATTACTCTCAGTAATTGTAACCTGGAACATTAATTATGACCACAATTTTGGTTCCTATCAAATGTATCTTCGTTAAAAAGAAAAAAAAACTAGTAAGAAGCAGATTAAAGATCATAGTAGAAATTATTCTCAGTAATTTTAACTCGGAACGTTAATGATTACCATAAATTCCATTCTGGGCTAACCTAATCTCCATCATAAAGTAAAAGGTAACTGTCTTGCTCCTCTGTTGAGATTTAATGTATTTAGATACATCAAGCTCAAGTTTTTTGAACACAAAACTAGGGTCGTTACGCATACTTTTTTTTTTAAATAAGTGAATGGTATAGTAAAACACAATTGTTTATCATATGCATAAATCTGTCACATTCTAAATCCAACTTTTTAGGGAACTTCTTCGGCTGATAACGTACAAACTCATTGATTCTACTGGACGTATCATTTTTTGAATACATTGTGCCAGGACAAAAAATCACAGATTCTGCAGCTAAGTCAAGGATTTTCTTGCGGTCACAATCTTTAGAACCACAAATTGTTTATTCGCTTCTTGATTGACAGCTCAATAATTTATCAACTACTAATTCAAGGTATAAGTTTTCCCATATACTCTTCAAAGATTTCTCGGGGGCTACATAATACAACGAAGACTTTTGCCATTTTGAGCTACTATATACAACAATCACTAAAGAAAAAAAGATTATTAGAAACAAGAAATTACGGTAAGAAATAAGTATTCATTAATTTTTACGTGTAGACAGCATATATAACCTGTTCTACACGGCTATGTCAATTCTTCCCAAAACTTCAAAATACGCTGTTTAAATATATCATTGCAAAAGGGTGTCGGTTTTAATTTTTTTTTCCTGTAATCTATGTACATAAGTACAGCAATACGTAGTGTCAGATTTGCTGTGATGTTACATGCCTCCTTTGGTCACGTGATGGTCATTTATTACTTTCAAAGTGTTTCACCTAAATTGCATCTGTAAAGCCCTTTAACACAATTAGCCCATCTCAAAAATATTTTCCAAGTTTCCCTCTCCAAACCGACTGACTAAAAATGACCCGACTCAAAACGTTTTTCTAGGGTATGAGATTTTTTTCTTATATTTATTAACAAATATATAAAATTTAATTTTTTAAAAAAAATTATTCACCTACCTACACCAAATCAATAATTTTACCAGAGTCGGGAGAGGCAAGCAAACATTTTATTTTAAAAAGTGATATGTAACCTGAATATGTTAGAATAACTTTAGTTTTTAGCTTTATTCAATTTCTGTCTTATACTCATTTTATTTCTGAATTTTGCATTTAATCTCTGAATTAAAATTTAAACAATAAATACTGTATTTCCTAGAAAAATTAAAGTATTGTCAGGGACGGAAAATACCGGAACTTACCACTGGTAATTCCCACCATCGGTATTTTCCGGCCAACTCTGACCTGCGTATACTTGTAGCTATATCTCGGTTTTTGACGTCACAATGTCACAGACTTCGTACAAGTTCGAGTATGACATAAAACCTCTCTAAACTCCATCTGATTCCATTATAACGCAAACATTTAAACAAGACGCAAAATATTCTAATATTGTGCCAAGTTTCTAAAAGATCAGATTAATAAGCAAATAATTTTAGGGAATATGTAAATCATCTCTGAACTTTGTTGTTGACTTTTTATTTAAAAAAAACAACATAGTAGACATTCTCAAAAAGATTTTTTATCAATGCCCTGTTAGAAGACTCAGTATATAGACTCTACATATCTATTTTCATTTCAGTCACAAGTTTAATAATGGACCCCCGTACCAGTGCCCAAGACGTGATGCGATGTGACCTGTGTGAGACCGCTTTAGTACAGATGCACTGTGATAAATGCATTGTCAACCTGTGTAAGGCCTGTGTGGGAAAACACATTTCCAGAAGGGAAACCAACGGTCACAAGGTAGTCAAATTTCAAGACAGAAAGTCTCACCTGTACCCCGAATGTAAAAAGCATGATAAACAACTGTGTGAAAAATATTGTGATCAATGTGACATTCCTGTTTGTACAAAGTGCACTGCATCTGCGCAACATATTGATCATAAATTATCAGAAGTCTTGCAAGTTGTGGAAGAAAAAAGGGATACTTTAATCAGAAACAAATTTGAATTAGATTTTGCGATTTATCCAAAGTACCATTACATTGCCTATGATGTAAAATACAAAATGAGTCAATTAGAAAAGGATTATGAATATCTCTCAACAGCAATTACAAAACATTGAGAGGACTGGCACAGAGAAATTGACAAACTTGTCAAGAAACTTAAAGCTAAAGTTGATAAGATGAAAAACACGCAGATACAAACTCTAAAAAAAACATCTGGATGACATAAACAAGAAAATTTCTTACATAAAGGATGAAATCGATTCAACTAAAATTGTTTTACAGACAAATGACACTTGTCCAAATTGTTAAGTGGCACATCCAACATAAATATATACAGAAATCTTCCACAAGAACAAGAAATGCCTCTATCTTTACCCAAATTCATCCCCAGAGAAATCATAGGTAAAGAATTTAATAAACTGTTTGGAGCCTTATCATGTAATTCTGTTAGTTCGGATGAACATAGCTACAACAAGAAGAAGATACAGAAATCATCAGAGACAGTCATCAATTTTGTAGACACTGGGTATAACAAACTTTACAATGTTGCCTGCCTGAGTAATGAAGAAATCTGGACAAGTGGAAATGACAGCACCATGAAACAACAGCATCAACCAGGGATCACTGCTCAAGTCAATATCAACTAAGTCAGGGAACAACACTTCAGTCATCGGAGTGACAAAAGCCGGAGATCTAGTTTATTCTGATTACGATGATAGGACTGTGAATATAGTGAAGAACAAGGAGACAGAGGAGGTGATCAGACTACAGAACTGGAGACTTTTGGTGTCTGTAGTTTACTCCTCTGGTGACCTCCTGGTTACCATGCTTAGTGATGATGATTACCAATCAAAAGTTGTCCGTTACTCTGGCTCCACAAAGATACAAACTATTCAATTTGATAATAAAGGAAAACCATTGTATTCATCCAGTTATATTAAATATATTTGTGAGAACAGGAACCTGGATATCTGTGTGTCTGATTATGGAGCTGGAGCTGTAGTGGTGGTCAATCTTGCCGGGAAACTGAGATTTAGTTACACAGGACTTACTCCTGCTCCAAAATATAAACCATTCAGTCCACGAGGAATCACCACAAACATTCATAACCATATCCTTATATCTGATGTCAGCAATGATTGTGTCCACATCATTGACCAGGATGGACAGTTCATCAGTTACATACCCTGTGGATTGACTAAACCCTGGGGACTGTGTACAGATTCAAATGACAATCTGTTTGTTGCTCAAAGGGAAAAAGACAAGTAAAGAAAATAAGATATTTAAATGCCCTTGAATACGCCACCACTGCATAGATTTAATGAATATTTTCTTGACGAATTTCATCGTATTATCCGTTCACACTGTGCTATTTTCCATTGTACCTCTGAATTGCATAACTCAAAAAAGAGAATTACCGTTTGTCTGTGAAACCATTTTGATGTACACTCCACAAAAATCACATATTGCTACATGTATTTCTAATGTGTTTTCTTCATTCATCTTGTATGAGATTAAAATTTATAGTAGGAAAATAGATTTAAAAATTGACCGTGTGATCTTTTTTTTTTGTTGGAAAGAAACATAAGGATTCAAGATCAAAGTCCAGAAAAATACAATATTCATTATAGGAGCAGAGCAAACACAAACCTCCAAAACATCAGAGGTGGGCTCAGGTGCCATTGGTAGTGAGCATCCCCTGCCGACCAGTCACACCCGTCATGTACTCCTTGTCATGATCGGGGAATAACAGAAAAATCCGTTGTAAATTCAGTGTATAAATAATACCAAAAATTTTAAATAATAAAAATAATACAGGGGTTGATGTACGAACACTGGTTATTTGTTTGCGAGGTATTAGGTAATGAAATGAGAGTAGAACAGTGTTTCAGGCATAACGTTCTTTTTAATGAATTAAACATCCATTCGCAGGGGTGTTCAGGAAATATTCTAAATTGACTTAATCAGTGATATACCAGATAAGCAGAATTTTTAGAAGAATTTTTAGCGAGGAGTGCTGAGATCGCTAAAAATTGAATATCGATAAAATTAATTGATATTAATTATTAGTAGATTCTTTAGTGAGCATTTTAAAATCTCTAAAATAACATCTCACGAAAAATAAGAATACCAGTGTTTAAGGACAAATCGCTTAATTTGCGCCTCGCTAAAGGATGACGTGACTTGCGGCCCCCGGAAAATTAACAAAAAATAAAATGTCTAAATTTTACTCAAATTTTTATAATTATGTAACTAATCACTGATATGTGTACCTTCATAGAATACTATTATTAACAAAAATAGAAACGTGGTTTGATCCTTTACTGGGGTAGGGGTATCATGTTTACATCCAATGTCCATTGTATTTCAATCCCGCCCACTCTTTGAAGCCCTTAAGATATACGAGCGCAGGTAGGTACAATTTTCTCCTTTGGCTGGTCACTGTATTTTATTGAAATCTACCTATATGCAAGAGGAGAAAATTGTACCTAACTGCGCTCACATGCTATTTTTAAAAAAAATTGTAAAATCTAGCTGGCATTTCCCATTATGAACAGATCGACGGAACTAGATTTTCTGACGTAAGAATGAATTCATATGCTAATCGAGGCACTGGCGATACTTTCTAATTGACCAATCAGCTGAATGAAATTCGTTACGAGTGAGTACCACAAAAATACTATGGAAACATGCTTGGAATATTACTGCTTTCAGAATTTTTTTTATGCATTTGAGTCTTAAATTAGACACGGATCTACATATGTACAATTTCGATCCGAGATGGCAGTAAAGTTATGCATTTACAAACAATTGATAAATGTACATTAGTTTAAAGGGTTTGTAGCGTGTTTGGTGAGCAATTTGCTAGGTCTACGCGTATTCCCAATTATCACTGAAAAAAAGTTTCATGTGCATGTCTTGTCCTAAAAAACTTAATTGCTGAAAATCCATGCGTATTATTAAGTATAAACAGTCTTGGCTGACCTTTATAAAAGTTTGAAATGTAGAAAAGGATAACGGGTAAATTGACCTAAACAACGAATCTGAGATAAAATGTAAACATAGTAAACAAGCATGTTTTGTTGTTCTGTCCTCGGATTGGACAATGACTATGTGCGAAATGATAACAATAGCCATACAAGGTCTTCTCGGACAAGCGTATCCCTCTATTGTACTAATACCCGCCCATTCTCTTGCCATAAAAGAACATATTCTTACAAACCTGGCCGAATTTAGCTGTGATAAGGTCTAAAAAAAATGGAAGATAATGCAGTACTCTTTATAATTAGAATATGTCTGAACTATTGAATCTATTCAAAAGCCGTATTTATTCACTTAGTTATAAAAACTACCAACATTGTTGTAGATTAAATATAATTCTTCGCGGAAAAAGGGGCCCAGATAACAGTTATGTCACTTCATCCTTTCCACTTGTACGGTATTATGACGTCATTGTAGGCGAGATGACCTCACTTTTATAACGCAAATTTTCGTAATAATGGTATTGAGAAATGTAAATTAACCCTAGAAAATAAATCTAAATTAAAATGTAAACATTAACAAAAATTCATTTTATTTTATTAAGATATATCTGTTATTTGGATTAAAATGTAAAACAGAAGACGTCATAAGTGAACATTAAAGGTACTTGGACACAGATTTGAAGTCAATATTTTCTCTATAATGTTACGATTTATATATTTTAATAGCATTTCACACAAAAATTAATTAAAAATCTTATTTCATTTAAAAGTTATTAAAACTTTAAATTTTTCGGCGGGTTTGATTGACACATGCTTGCACTTTCACAAATTTTAACCTTATTCTTAATCCTTAGGAAAAGTGGCAATCTTGTGTGTATTAATGAGAAATATTAAAACTTTTATCCAGAAAAATAATTTTATTCGAAGTAGAGATGTTAGAAAGCAAAACTCCTTCACAAGTATCGTCATTTCGAAGTAAGAGTTGTGTACAGGGTTTATCAAATCGAGCACACTCGTGTTTTTGTAAACAGGGCACGAGTTCTGTTTTTGTTTATGTTTAGAATTCACCGGGTGCGTTCTAAATCGTCACAGTCTGCTTACCACAACAGCACGGACTAGCAATATATTGTATGTTTGCTTTGCTTTCGAACATTTCTACTCTGAATTTTATGGATTATAGAATTGATATTTTTCATTTAAACACAACAAGATTGCCACTTTCCTTAAGGATTAAGAAAAGAAATTAATTTGTAAAAGTGCAAGGATGTGTCAATCAAACCCTCCAAAAAATTTGAAATATTAATATATTTTATATGAAATAAGATTTTTAATTAATTTTTGTGTGAAATGCTGTTAATATATATATGTCGTCATGTTATAGAGAAAATAATAACTTCAAATCTGTGTCCAAGTACCTTTAAGTAAGTTGAAAATGGATCATATATATGTGAATGAAAGATATGAAGTTACCAAACAGTATTCAATATCAAAGTCCATAAAAGATACAAAATAGGAACGAACATGTACCTCTTAAACATCAGAAGCGAGATCAGTTGCCATGGAATAGCGAGCATATCCTGTCAACCGACCACACCCGCCGCGCGCAATTGGGAAATAAGGGGGAAATCCGTCGTCAATTCAGTTCTAAAGGAATGCATGGGCTAACAATTGGTATAAAAATTCCGTATTTAAATATGCATCAAGGTTCTTAATTAAAAAAAAGTTTTAGAGCAGTTCCATAGTAATTAAAAAAAGAAAATAAAGATTGTTGTTTTGACGCAATTGCATTACAGTAAAGATATTGCTGCTCATCGCACAATAGTTTATAGAAACAACGATTTTCCTTAATTCGCAATAGTTTAATTTTGGTTGTGACGCGTCATTTGATTGGATCAAAATCAATATAAAAGAAATAAATTAATCTATATTGTATAACCTGCTTTGCCTATGTCACAATGACTTACGTCAAAAATTTATTATTCCACTTGACTTTACTTCTAAAATATGAACAAACGGTTTATAAAGAGTAACATGTACCAACCAAAGTTATTCAGTGTAACATGGGTTGCTATTTAATTCAGTCCTTAAATGAATATTAAAAAATAAAGACGTTTTTATATATCTAGAAAAAATATTTTTTCCGGTTGGAAAGATTGAGGTTGGGGCTATGCGATTGGTCATTAAACCTGAATTTGAACTCAAGCTTTTTCCCTTATAAGAAATCATCAAAAGGTGTGCAGTAACTTCCATTCAAATATTTGAAGAGTGAAAATTTAAATTCCTAATTCTGACCAGGAAGTATAAATACATGTACCTGACAACTAACAGTTTTTCAGATTAAATGGTTATATGACGTTAATAAAAATCCATAGACAAGTGGGCAGCCATTATTTCTCCCTCTCTTCAATGTTTACGTAAGTTGAAAATTTTTATATATTTACCTCATTTAATTTTTTTTAAATATTGAATTACTTGACACATTATGATAATGTTAAACAAAATCACTTTAAGAAAAAAATGAGAACTATCATTCTAGGAATTAATGTGTCAGAGTTAGAAATAAAGCCATTAACGTTAAATATTAAAAGCCATTCTCTGTAACCATTTAAACTTTGTTGCCACGCATGGTCACCGATTTTGTTGAAACTTTACCCATGCTTAGTACTTGATACAAGAAACAAATATCAAGCAAAATATCGTTACTATGTGTCTCGGTTGCTATGGCAACAGCAGGAAAAGTTTGAAAAATCGAGATTTTCAGCCACTTTAAATCTTGACTGTGGCTTAATGAAAGCTAGAAAAAGCAAACCAACCATATTCACAAAAACATGACACCTGTATGTCACTTATACTGTAAAGAAACTGTTTAGAATATATCTCTAAGTAAGTGGTAACCAAGGATACATTTGGAATACATTTAAAATGCTGAGATATGCTGAAAAACACTCCGTATTCACTAATGGTAGGTGTTACATGCACAAACTTAATCATCGACTTAAGAAAAACAATGAAAATGTTTGACCTTAAGTATTTAGGTTTAAGCAATATCATTCTATAAATAACTTTTATGGTTGCCATGGTAACACGGTGTTACCATGCAAAACCAGTAACTGAAATTGGGTTAATGCTACTGTCTTGAGGAAAAACGTGAAAATTCAAGACTGGCAAATATAAATCCTTAGGACCTTGCAACACCATAACCATAGGGAAAATTGGGTATAATTGCTACTTTGCAGTGTTACCATGGAAACAATGTTCCAGTGCTTAAAAGTGAATTATTTTTCG